GAAACAAGGTATTCCTGCACCACAGGCTGAAAGTCAGAATGTTATCCAGTCACACACACACAAAAAAGAGGAGAAGAAAAAGAAGAAAGGAAATCTCTCAGTTCGACGAAAATCCCGCCAAAGGTCCAAGGGCTCTGCTGCATGTGCTTTGGAACGGAGCTGGTCCTGTGTGCACCTGGAAGGGAAGTGCCCACAAACAGCTGACAACGCCTTCTGCAAGAAGACTGCGGAGGGCCATGCATGGCAGAGAGCGGAACTCTTCAAGGAGCTGCAGCGCGGGCACCGGGGGGGCTGAGACGGAGGCTCAGGCCGGGGCAGGTGGAAAAGAGCACACCCATGCCTGTGCTTGCACGAGAATCGGGGTGTTCCTCAAGGCACAGATGTTTGGTTTTTTCAAGGGGACTCAGACCACCTGTCTCACCATAAGCAGCCCTGGTGGCACAGTGGGTACACAGTGGGCTGCTAGCCACAAGGTGTACAGTTCAAAAGCACCAGTGGCTTCGTAGAAGAAAAGGAGGTTTTCTAGTCCCATAAAGAGCTACGGTCTCGGGAACCCACAGGGCAGTTAGACCTTGCTCTAGACCACTGATTCTCAACCTGTGGGTCTCGACCCCTTTGGCAGTCGAACGACCTTTTCACAGGGGCCGCCTAAGACAATCAGAAAACACTATACTTTAATTATGTTCAATTTGCAACAATGAAAATACATCCTGCCCATCAGATACTTACAAAACAATTCATAACAGTAGCACCTTCTCTCCAGTCCCCACTCAAGTCTACACTTCCCGGCCCTGGTTCCAAAGGTGTTCACCGCTACCTTACTGAGCGCGGGCCGTCTAGTCCGAGGTATGCGCCTACTTTCAGACTCCCATGACAGTCAAGGTTTCTGACGGGCTCTGGGGCCAGTTCCACCCACGGCCCAGAGGTCAGCGCAGACCGCTCTGGAGACTGTCTTGTGCAGACCCAAAAGGGTCCCCTAGAAGGCACAGGGCCCCTGGGGGACTTACCAGGAAGAAGTGGCAGGCCTGTCAGGTTGTATCTCTCCTAAATCCATGTCACGGTGTCCTTGTCAGGTCCGACCACAGCCACTCTGTGCACGACGGAAGGGAGCACCTCTCAGTCCTGCGCCAGCCTCACAACCATTCTCACGTGTGAGCCCGTGTGCGTCCACCTCATCGAGGGCCTTCCTCATTTTCACTGCCCCTCAACCTACCAAGCATGGTGGCCTCCTCCAAGAACCGGGTTATCCTGGCAGCATGTTCGAAATATGAGGTGTGAGTTCTCACCACCCCTGCTTCTAAGGAGCGTTC